GACCACAGAAGCAAGTGGCTACCTTTGCTGGCTGTGAAGATGGGGGAAGGAGCTACAATCTACCGTTGCAAAAAGTACAGCTCTAGAAGATGGAAAGAGCAAGATAATGGATTCTCCTCTAGAACCTCTGAAGGGAGTGTGGCCCTCTTACACCTTGATTTTGGCCCAGTAAGACTGATTTTGGACTTCAGAACTGTAAGAGAATAAATGTGTGTTGTTTTACGCCACCAAAGTCATGGTAATTTGTTACAGCAGCAATAAGATACTAATACAGTTAGGTCTTCTCTGACCATCTTCTCTAAAATTGCATCCCCTCCTCCAACAACCCATCCTCTACTTTCTCTTTAATACCTATCAACTTGTAATATACTCTAAATTTTACTAGTTTATTGTCCACCCCACCTGCCCCACCTACACACTTACACACCAGGGATATTAGGTTGTTTTGTTTCTTGATGTACCCCACGAATGAGAACACTGCAAATCTGCAGTGAATGTGCAGTCCTTCCCTCCTGGGCTTTCTCCTACCTCTCTGGCCGTGTTCCTGTCCTTTAATACTGGCTCCTTTTCCTCCACTGAAAGTGCCAATCATTTGCAAATCCAAGTGCGTAAGGAGGCTGGTAGATAATATAAATGAGAGGTCAGAGCTCCTGGCTGGCTATGTAGCTGGTGTGCAGAATGAGTGGCGGGCTATATGCCAGGCTCTCTCAGGAAGCTGGAATGCTTGCCTTGTTCAAGGGAGGTGGCCACCACTTCACCTCAGCCCTGGCAGACCTTCCAGATGAAATGTGGGCCCAATGATGCCATTTCCTAATTTTCCAAAAATTTTTATCTGAAATCTCCAACTTTTTAAATGCATACCCTATTTAAAAAATAAGCCCCGTTTTGCCACTCCTGCTTCAACACATTGCTGCTCCTAGGGACCTCATTCTCAACCCTTCTAGGTTTACAGTTTGCTAAGGCCTTTGCTTCCCCAGCCAGAGTTTCAACTGTCCTCTATACGCATGTGTGAGTTCCAACTCACTTCAGAGCTCCAGAACAATATAATCAATTACCTGCTGAAGGTCTTCTTCACCTGGATGTACCTGAGCCATGTCCAATTTGAATTTCCTAAGGTAAGTTATCATCTTCCTCCTAAAGCTAATGCTTCTATAGTCCCTATCTTGGTAAATGGCCCCAGTGTTTACCTGCTACCCCAGCCAGAAACTTCAACCTCTCCTTCCATCTCACTAATCAGATACAAAGTCCTGCTGATTTTAATGAACTCCTCAATATTTCTCACATCTACCCCTTGTACCAGCTGCCTCTCCTTGGTACCTGAAGCCATCACCTTTTAGCTGAAGCATTACAATTACTTCTAGTCTTTCCCCTTCACTGCACACTGCCACCAGAAAGCTCTAACATAATTCTAATCATGCCACCCTCCTTTGTCATACAACCATTCCAAAAACATGTTCTACATGACACTGGTTCCAAGGGATATGAATAGTGTTGCTTGATAAAAAGTTTTATAACACAGATTTAGAACAAAGAGTTTAAATACAGCTAACCTTTTTTTTTTTTTCCAACCCTGTAGGACTTCTCAGAGCCTTTTGTGTGCTAATTATCCTGACTCCAAAAGCACTATGCAGCAGTGAGCAGTTTCCCATTTATTTAGCCATGGAATTCCTCCCCCCACGCCCCATGGGGCATTTCAAAGTATTAATGTTTCACAGTGAGAACTATTGCTTCCATAACTTTCTATTATCTACAGGACATAATTCAAATTCTTTAGCATAGGACTGAGAACAAGGACCGTGAAGCTAGAATATCTGGGTTCAGATTATGGCTGCACCATTTGCTTAGCTGTGTGACACTGGACAGATTCCTTTTCTTCATGCTTTTTTTTCTTTTTAACTGTAATATGAGGATAATAATACAATATGGCATAGGGTTGTCGTAAGGATTACTGTTACTATTAATAGTATATGTAAAGCATGTAGGACAGTGCCTGGCACATAGTAAGAGCCTGATTAAGTGCTATATTCTTATTCAGGGCCTGTCTTCTCCATCCTCGCTTCCTTCTATGAAGGTAGGTCCAGATTTTAACTTCCTTTAGATCCTGGAACTACATCTCTTGCCAGTAGTTCTGCTCTTCCCAGTTAGTTGAAATTCCTCTAGTCCCCCTCCTTTCCCCTTATCTCTACCTGTTTGCTCAAAATTTTACATGTTTTCCCAGGCTGACTGGTGCATTTGTACATTACACAAATATTTATCAGGTGGCTACTATATACCTCCCATTTCTGGATGGGGAGTCAGACATGTCATAACATTTAATACCCTGACTCCCTGTACACGCCAGGGAGTGAAGCTCCTGGTAATTTCTCACATCCATCTCTCTCTTCCCTCCGTTCCTCACAGGCCCGTTTCACAAACCCTGTCCCCTCATCCAATTACCCGCTAGAGTTTAAACTGCTCCAGAGTCTTTCACCCTTGTATCCCCAGCACCTAGAATAGTTTTTGGCACATAATATACACCCAATACAAATGTGTTGATTGGATGCATGAATTTGTCTGGGTCACCGTGCCAAGCCCTCCAATGTCTGCCACGACATGGGACCAGGCACTGTCTTCTCTGGGCCTTTTTAACGGTAGAACAAGCAGGGTGCAACCTGCCTCGCTGCTCTGTGAGTAGTTGCATGGCACCCCGCTACAATGTGGCCCCACCTGGCGCACGACTCTGACGTGGAGAGAGCACGCTAAATGGGATCCCCTTCCCCGAGTTCTTGAAAGTAACCTGAGAAAGACCGCGTGGGGCCCGGCGGGTCGCACCCAGAGGGGCTGCGTAGGCACGGTGGCATCCTCCGGTCCCCCGCCCGCCGACCCCGCACTCACGCTGCTCGCTGCAGTTGCCTCAGCAAGTGCGCGACACGGGCGCGGGCGGCTGCAGCCATGGCCGTGCAGTCTTCCTTCCAGTAGCCCCTCCTCCACCCCTACGCCCCTTCTGCGGACCAATCCCAGCCACCGCCCTCCTGCTCCCGCCCACTCGGCTGAGACTGCCCACCCCCCATGCTAATTCTCCCGGCCCCGGCGTTAGCCCTCTGGATCAGGACCATTTTCCCACGAGTCAAAATCTCAAGCGCCCTACCTGCAATTTCACCAGCCACCTCCGAAATTGCCGTAATGGTAACTGCTTTGTAGGATCGTGAGTACTTCCTTAAGTCTCTCTACTTAAAACTCTTTATTTCAAATATTGGGCATATGGGGAAAGGGAGGGAAAAAAGGGCATTCTTTTTCCACTGATTCCTTTAAAATACTACTTTGCCTTCCTATTTTCCCAATAAATTAAGACATTGCATTTAAACTGTTTTAATAGTAAATAAGGGGCGCCTGGGTGGCTCAGATGGTTAAGCGTCTGCCTTCGGCTCAGGTCATGATCCCAGGATCCTGGGATCGAGTCCCGCATCGGGCTCCCTGCTCCTTGGGAGCCTGCTTCTCCCTCTGCTTCTCTCTCTCTCTCCCCCTCTGTCTCTCATGAATAAATAAATAAAATCTTAAAAAAAAAAAATAGTAAATAAGGACCATGCAAAAAGCCCGAGGGTTTTGTTTTTACAGGGCCAGTGCTGTGCCTAACTGCTAAATCAAAAGTCTAAAAACAACAACAACAAAAAAACAAAAAAATCCCAAAACCAAACAGTAACAACAAAACACCCTGGACAGTTGAGAACTTAAAAGGTGTTAAGTGCTCTAGAATAGCTTTTGATTAAGTTACCATTAAATGGTTTCATCAGTAGTTACAAACTTTCCATGATTACACTATATTCTATGGCCAAGTGCTCCACTTCCCAGTGGGAGAGTTGATCAATGATGGCAAAGTTCAACTTTATCAGAAAGTATCCTAAGACAGTAACAATTGAACATGTGTTTTTAGTAACATATCATGAAATTTGAATTAAATCTTTTCTTCCATAGTAATTTCTAAAGATAACATAAAAATGAGGCAACACTAAAAAAAGACAAAATTAACACCCAACTTTAATTTCCTATCAACTGTCAGACCAAAAACCTGAGTAGAGTGGCTCATGAGGCTGTAACAGCAGCAAAAATGCTCCCCTGGAATCTAGATCTACTATGAATCCTTCTCAGCTTATTGAGATCAATTAGGGAAGGAGACCCATAAAAGCTATGAACATTTGACCTCCTAATCAAACTAGTAAGGTCAGTTTGACAAACGAATCAAAGATAACAGTGTTCCAGTAAAGATTTGGTGGGTTTCTTCATCTCTTCTCAAAAAACAGACCCTACCAGATGTTTAAAAAAAAAAAATTGGGGACATAAATGTTGAAAAAGATTTAAGTTTTTTTGGATTAATGAGGATTATTACCATTATTTAGTGAAGCCCACATTTATAATTTACAGGCAGTAAATGTTTTCACAGTATTAAAAAGCATAAAATCTTTTTTCAGAGACACCAGTCATACTACACTTTCAATATTATATCTGATACTCATTAGAAAAATTCACACTTCTGTTGGTATCACTGAAATCATCATAAATTACCTGCTTTATGTTTTTTAGAAAGTAAACTAAAATAATGTGAACCAGGTATCCCCTGGCTTTACGTAGAATTTCTACCAATAGCCAAAATGTCAAAAGTAACAGTAGATACACACTTTTATTAAACAACCTTCATAAGAGTTACTTATAAGTCCAGTTTTGAAAATGTAATCTTTCCGTTCCCCCATTTAATACACTCCCTTGTTATAAAAATAATGCAGAAATCAATTTTAAGTCTGAAAGATGACCAACTCTCTCACAATATATCCAAAGTTAAAAAGAAAAAAAGATGTCTGTTTAAAAATAGAACTCATTCTCAGTTTCCACCAAATTCTTTCCCGGATTCTTATGTCCTCAAATACATCCTTTAATCTCCAGCCAAATTCCTGGTTGTGGGAAAAACATTAATTTGTAGAGTCCAACATTTACATACTATCTTCGGGGTCGGACAGTCTATCCCTTCAACCTCAAGCTCAGTGAAGGCAGCGGTCCCCTTCTTCCACAACCCCCCGCCCCCTCCGTAACTAGAATTTAACATTTAGTATATAGTTCTTGGTTTACAGACGGGTCCGAGGGTGAAAATTATTTCCTTCTCTTTCCTCCTTGGTGTTGCCCTCCTTTCCTCTTGCCGCCGAAGGGAAGCGGCCCAGAATTCATCTTGCCTCCCAAGCCCGCTTTCCTTTTCCCTCCCTGGCTGGGCGGGACACCTTTCCTTTTGCCCCCAGGACCCTGCCGGCCCCCCTTTCTCTTGCCCTTCTGGCTCATTTTCCTCCTCTTGGCAGCCTCCTCCTGGTCCTCCTCCCTCATCTGTTTATTGGTGGCCCTTGTCACGTCCAGCTGAGGCTTTTTGCTCTTCATCACCCGCAGCAGCTCCAACTGGCTCTTTTTCTCCGCTGCAAAGTCCCCGAAAAGGGGTTGAAACTTCCTCTTCTTGCCGGAGCCCCGGGGGGCCTTCTCCTTGGGCAAGCGCTCCTGGAAACGCCCCACTGAGGCGGTGGAGACCTTGGCCACCTGCATGGCGCGGCCCAATTCCTCCTTACTCTGGTGTCCCGTAGGATGCATGCCAGCCGCGCTGGGCAGCTGCATCTTGTGCGCGCGAGCCAGGTTACGCAGTCGGTTCAACTCATTCTTGGCCACCCGTTCCTTCTTAGCCTGGATCCGCTTGGCGAACTGGTCCTCTAAGGGGTCGGCACCGCCGGGCACCTCGATCAACCATTCCTTGGTGTCGTCGCGGGCGCGCTGGTAGCCCCAGCGGCGTCGCCACTGGCCACTCACCTCGTCCCACACCAGATTGGTCTTCTTCTTGGGACGGATGCCCTTGAGGCGCGCGAACTGCTGCCAGCGAGTAAGCGGCCGCGGCCGGGGCACCGGCTTCTCGCGCGGCAGGCGAGTGGTGGGCTCCGGCAGCCGCGCCACCAGTGCCTCCTCCACGCGCTCCGTGGGCAGCTGCCACAGCTGGTTGATGAGCAGCTGCGTGTTGTCCCGCGCCAGGGCCTTCAGCTCAACCTCCGGCGTGGGTCCCGCGCGCCGCAGGCCCGTCGGGGGGTTCCGGTCTGAGGCCAGCAGGTTACCCAAGTCGAACTCCAGCTCCAGCTCCTTGTGCACCGTGATGCGCTGCAGCTTCTCTGCCTCGTCCCGCTCCGCCTTTGCCAGCAATTCCTCCACGCTCTGGCCCTCCATGGCTCCCCCTGGGCTCATTCGCTCCGGGTAGACAGTTGACATTACTTCTTTGCCAACGCCGGCTCAAGCCCGGGCAACGCAACCACGCGCGGTCGCCGAGAAGCTCGTTCCGGAAGAGAAAGCTTCGCTTCCGGAGCACCCGGAAGAGACTCACAGTCCCGGCAACCCGAGAAAAGGCCGGCAGAGAGCAGTGTTGGAGAGCAGATGGGATTACCGGAGGCTCTTTGGCGGGAGCCCAGAGGTAGGCGGTGCTAGCGCAAGGATCCTAGACTACGAATTCCAGGGCCCAATTGGATCTGTGTCTCCCAGGATGCAGCGGCGGAGCCGGGTGGTGTGAATTTTGGGCGTCGCGGTTTGAGGGGGTCCCGGAGCGACTGTTACCAATTTCAGTGTAAATCAGTTCACAAGATGTATCGCTTCTCAGCTTTCTGGGACTACATAAATTTTATTTTTACCATAGCCTGAACCTGTTCATGGGGGTCCTGGGTGTTGACCGAGAAAGACATTTTCCACAGATGCACATAAAGCTAGTTGTGGAAGATTTGGTTTGCTTGGTGAGCGAACAGGGGCTGGCAGTTAGACTGCCTTAGGTGGGCACTGGGGTGCGCCCCCCCGGGCGAGCTGAGGTCTGGTAGCCCAGAGCCCTGGGACTGCATCGTCTCCACGCTTGTGGCAAATATGCGCTGGGCTCTGTCTGCAGTGAAACTGCCTGAGTTCCAATCCTGACTTCTGTTGGACCTTCGGGTATTTGGGCCTAATTAAAAACCTGTAAGATGCGGTGGTAATAGTACCTACCATTTACGGCTGTTATAAGGATAAATGAGTTAATATGCCTCTGAGGCAGCTTGGTCTGGAACATAGGAGCACTCAACAAATGTTAGCTAAATACCAATTATTAACCTTTCTAATCGCCCTGGGAGTAAGCTAAAGAGGCAGTCTTATACAGTGATTATGCACCAGGTTCTTGGGTCGAACTACCTAGAATCACATCTAGTTTTACAGTACCTACTTTGGACAGGTTTTTTAACCGAAGTCCAGTTCATAAGTTGAAAATATGAAACATTAGTTCCTGGTACATAGTAAGCACTCAATAAGTGTTAGCAGTTGTTAATCATCATATTCCACAAAAGGAGGCTCAGAGAAGTAAAATGACTTGTCTAAGGTTATACAACTAGGAAATGTGGGAGTAGGAATTATCTTAACTCTCGCTTTAAGACGATAGGCGTATTCTCCGCAATGTCTTTCAGGCCCTTGAGACACAAAATGTGTGGTCTTTTGACCAGCAGTATAGCACCACCTGAGAAGTTGTTAGAATTGCAGTGTCTCTGGCCTCAACCCAGATGTAATGATTCAGAACCTTCATTTTTAACAAGATCTTTGGGTGATGAGTATGTACATCAAGTTTGGGAGGCACAGGGCTGATTGTATGGCTTACAGGTTTGGTTTTGTTTTTTAATGGGAAGTTGGGAGTAGTGAAGAGGAGGTTATGCTAGAAAATTACCCATGGAAATGGATATAATAGCCCTTAGGAAATAGATTCAGTTGAGTTTCAGCTAGAGAGGTCATTAGGCATAGTCCCATCTACTGTACCTGCCTCCGCCCTCCCCACCCCCCGCAGGAGTTTGGTTTCTGGAGCTCACTATCTTTCCTCAGCTTCCCTTTGTTCAGTCACTCATCAAACGTTTAGTGAGCACATTTTATGCATCGGAGAGTATGCTATAATCTTTTTTCCTCTTTTCTAAAAGCATTTTAGGTTGCAGTTATGAATAGAGTTGCTATAAACAAAAAACATTTTAGGATTTGCAGGGTTTTTTCTGCCCTTGTCTTAATACTCAGCACTAAGTCTTTAATACACTCATATTGTGAGGTCAAGGCTAGGTCAAAGGCCATCTTAGATAACCGCCTTAAACCTAGCCTTGACCCTTAGAAGGTTTTGTGATTTGCCATAGGACAGTGTTAGAGACATTGATACGGCTGTTCTGGGCTTGGCTTAGCTTCCCATTCATTCATTCAACAAACATTTGAATGATTGCCGTATTCCAGACATTAGACACAAAGATTATTGAGACTGTGTGGAACAGTAGGGAAGAAAGAAAGGTTAAGAAAAATTTACAACATGGCATGTTTGGGCTTTTGATAGGAAGGACACGTTTGTAGGTTTTAGCTCCTCTTTCAATTTTCAGAGTTAGAGAAAAAGCAAGTGTCAAAAGGTGTTAAACAGTAATCAGTGAATTCTCACTTAATTTCCTTATGCTGGGAGACTGATTTTTACTTTCACTTTGCCCGTGATAATTCTGGATTTATAATAGGTATTCAATACATAATTGAATGAATAAACCTGTTAAATAGACTTTTCTAAATTTAAAAAAGGATTAATGTTGGCTGTTAGATTCAAGGTGAACAAGATTAGTAAGATTGGGATTTGTGGCTTAAAAAAAATCTTAGGCAAGTAGGTGAGTGGTGGTCTCCAGCTTGCATTTGTATCATCTTTATGTTAGGCAAGATTTTGCAGTGTCAAGAAAAAGAAAGCCTACAAAAGATGTACAAATATATGTGATTATATTTTAACAGTACAGTAAATGGTTGCACATCTTTTGTTTTGTTTTTTTTCCCTTTGTTTTTTCTCTTTGCTGGTTTCCCTACCTTCTTTTGTCCCATAATGCAGACAGATCCCATATTTGGTCATCAGACTCTGCTTTTCTCTTTATACCCGCTTTCTATGCCATTTCATCCACTCTCATTCTGTCAGCTGCCACTTTTGTGCAGATGGGTCTCAGAGGTACATCTTTATTCCTTTCCTTTTCAGAGCTCCAGACTGAAATCTCCAACCACTTGGTGGGCTCTTCCACAATACTCTAAAGTCAGTATGCCTAAGACTAAGACTTTTACACATAATCTTCCTGAAAATTTGCTTCTTCCATTATCCGTTCATCCACATTTTTTTTTCCCCAATAAAAGTTTATGGAAGGTCTTTCATGCTCAAGGTACTATGCTGGACTTTGGGAATACAATGGTTAGTAAAAACAGTCTCAGTTGATGTTATCATCATTCTAGTTTAGTTACTCTGGCCTGAAACTATGATGTCATCCTTGACTTTTCTAAACTCCAAATCCAGTCAGTCTAAAATTTCTGTTAAATATGTTCTTGTATTGTATCCTTTTTATTCCCACTGTCACTACCTTATCCCTAGACTGGGTCTCTTCCATCTACTTCTCCAGATCCTCTCTCTACTCTGCTATTTGCCCCTGGCTTCCAGCTGGTTGTGGTTAGCAGGAAGCAATGACAGAAGATCAGAGGGTGTAAAGAGTTTAAGGTGAGTGCATGTATGCCCCTAGCCCTCTGCAGATTGTCATGGGTTGGCTGGTTCCTCTAAAAGGCCGTAGCTCCAGTCAGGCAGCTCTTTCCATTTAGCCACACACACTCTCTTAGCTCCTCTAATTGCTTCCCTGGTTCCTGCAGGCCTAGCGGTTGGTATGGCTCTTGCTGTTGTGTCACTACTCTTTGTGAGTTTCCTTAAACCACGCTCACATCTTTGTAATATTCCTTTTGTTCATCTTTGTTAAATTACCCAGTTTGACTGCTACCTGTTTCCAGCCAGGACCTGACTGATACCCAGGGAGCTATTCTAGGAGCATCCTTACAGTTCCTTCCCTTCATTCCCTCTTCAGGTCAGTCCAGAGGATTCGTCTTCTACCGATCTGGCAAAATCACTCTTCTCAAAAACTCCCTTCTCTACCTAACAAAATAATGATTATTCTTGGTCTTGGATGGTCATGATCTGACCCCAAATAGCTCTTTACTCCATGGCATGATAGTTCTCATTATGCTTGTTTTTTAAATATTTCTTCTCCATTCCTATTTGTCTACCTCTAGGAAGGTAGCTAAGAACATTCCTTAAGAAAGGCAAAAATGAGGCACAGGACAGAACAATCAACAATTATATTTTTGTAGCACCTATTGAAAAGTATTTCAATAACAAAAGTAAACTTATAGGGAGATTTTTTTCTCTGTAGTCAAGGGGCTAGAAGGTTAAAGGCATGAAAGTGATACCTTTATGTTCCCTCAAAACATAACTACTTTGTCCAGCAAAACATTTTTGTAAGCATTTTTTTTCATTTTTTTGATAGTGCATTAATCTAAATGTTTCTCAGTTGCCCCTTTTTGGTAGCGGAAATTGTTAGGGATGATTCAATCTTTAATCCTGCTGTGAACATAGTTATTTTGAGTATTTTTGTCTAGGAAGTTCAATGTGCCAGTAATTTGATAAAATAGCAGAAAAGAGCCCTTCAAATGCTCACATTATTTCCACATGGTTCATTTTTACTGATTTATAATTTTAATTTGGAAGTACTTGAAGGGAAAATCTAATTTTTGAAAATTTCTTAATCATAGACAAAAACCTGTGTATTCATATGCTTCAGTTTTAGCCAGAAACCTATATAAAAATCTATTGTTTTGTTTTACAAATGAACATAGAAGATACAGCATTAAGATTTTGTATAGTTAGTATAAAAGCAGATAGAATAACTACCAAACATTGTACATTTGTCTAGAGGGAACTTTGGATTTGAGGATAGTAAAAATGATGGTAGCATTTTAGAATTGACTTAAGTTGATTTGCTATCTGTAAAATACACAACAGTTTCTGTTTTTCAAAAATTGGCAAATGCAGTTTGCCAAGAAAACTGCATTTCCCAAAATCTTATCACTACCTGTAAGGTATGTAAGCACCACTGGCTGATGGTTTTCCTTCATAAGACTTCTTTTTTTTAAAAGATTTTATTTATTTATTTGACAGAGAGAGAGAGAGAGGGGGAGAAAGACAGGAAGAGAGGGAACACAAGCAGGGGGAGTGGGAGAGGGAGAAGCAGGTCTCCCACTGAGCAGGGAGCCTAATGCGGGGTCGATCCCAGGACCCTGGGATCATGACCTAAATTGAAGGCAGACGCTTAATGACTGAGCCACCCAGGTGCCCCCCTTCATAAGACTTCTTCACTAAATCCCAAGGGAATGAGATTGGTGTTTGGCTTTAGACTTTTCCTGTATAAGAAGTTCAATATAAGAATGAAAGATTGATTTAAAAAGGAAAACTGAAGTTCCAGAACTT